TTTTCAATATCATTCAAATCAAAAGACTTTCACATGAAGTTCGATCTGAGCTCCAAGTGAAAAAATGTGATCATTAGGGGTACACAAACATTAAAAACCCGTATCAAAACCCAAATGAAAAACCCGTCCCGACCCATTTGATTTTCAATCTTTTTTGGACGGGTTTTTTGATTTGGGTGAAAATGAACACCCATCTGACTGAATTTAATTTATGCATGGATTCAAATACTTCTCAACACCAACATATGCAGATCTCCCCTCAAACCACACCTGCATCAACTCCGGCCAACTTGGTTCAAGCACCGTTGATTGCTATCGAAGCAAACACGGTCGGAACTCCCACAACTTTAGCCTCGACATATCTTCCGGTTCCAAGTCTTTCCCCAGCGGACTGGGTGCGGCTTGCCCAGATCAATCCAGTCACGTCTTCTCTCGTCGTTTCACAACCAACCAACCAACCTACACACCTCATGAGTGCTCCTCCCGCTCCTAAAAAGCCACGAGGACGCCCTCGCAAGCAATCAGCTCCCCAGCAATCAAAGTCTCTTCGTCCAAAACAAGACGCTTCTGATCGTGAAACTCAGGTTGATTCTCAAATCAAAAATCAAATGGAAACTCAAATTAAAACTCAAGATGTTCAAACTCAAGATGAATCTGGAATCAAAACCTCTCGAAATGAAGAAAACGAAGAGGCGGACATCAGCACCTCGAAATGTTGGTTTACACCTCAAAGTGATGACAACAAGTCCGATATGGATATTGTGGCTGAATGGTGCAGCATCTACGAGAATTTCAATTCTTGGCGCACGCAGAAGCAGGTAGTGATTCGTGAGAAGGTGGCAGCGTTCATTGCAAGTAAGAATCATGGAAATAGATCTGGTCGCGAGTGTGAAAAGAAAGTCAGTAACATTTTGGTCTATGTATGAAAATTGTTCTCTTCCCTGATTTTCTGTTTTGATATTTAGGTCAAATTGTTAGAGACTTGGTTCAGAACGGCTGACGGTTTGAGAAATGCGACTGGGGAGGGCAATCGTGAGGGTGAATCAGTGGTATTTACGGTCCCACAGGAGGATATCATGGCATTTAAATTGGCTAAGAGGCGAGGGGGTGGTAAGAAAGAAGATAATACTGGCAGCCTTCAAGGTATGTACAGGAACTGAGATTTCATGATTGTTTTCAACTCACTGACTGTATTCAAACAGTGAGAATGTTACGTATATGTCCTTGGTACGAAGAACTCGAGCCAGTAATTGGAGATCAACCGTCTGCCCGCCCGTTGGCCTTGAGGGATTCTTTAGGCAAGAATGACAAGCACAACTCAACATCTCTAACTGATATCGAACCAGAACGCTCCCCAACTGCGTCTGACAGCTCCTTGCCAAACGAAGCTTGGGAAGAGACTCCCTCTCGTTCACTCTCACGCCGCAACCTGTCGTTGGACCTGAGTCTTGAGGAGGACACTTCAACTTTGCAAAGTCCTAACACCACTGGCTCGAATGTTTTCCTCAAACGCGAGCCGTCATTTGGGAACCTGAAGATCAAAGACATTTCATCATCTACCAAAACTTCTACTAAGCTTCGTCGACTCAGCAGTAAAGATACCACCACGTCGGTTCACTCCAAACAGCAAGAGTCGCCTCAAGATCTTCCGGGTTTTTCATTTGGGTTTTGATACGGGTTTTTAATGTTTGTGTACCCCTATTATCTTCTTCCTAGATAATGATCATTGATCATTATCATTTTTTAACATTGATCCATTAATAAAAGTTTCTTCATATCAATCAAAACCCTCATTATTCTCCTTGCCGATAATGATCAATCAAATCTCAATTGAGTTCATTTCAAAACTGGACTTGATCAAAGTTTTGATCAAGTAAACAATTTTTTTCCCCACTCAACACTTACAAATCCTCCGTTTTGAGGAGGATCTTGAACAAATAGACTCACAAAATGTTGAAATCGAAAGCAAGGCTACTAAGAAGTGTCACATTGCTATTCAGTTAAAAAGAACAAAACAAATAAAACAAAATAGGACCCCATCTTCTTTCCCCTTCACAAATAAACGTAGACCTTCTGATCCATATGATTCCATCAAACACCAAAAAAAATTACAACCGTCACATTTAAAACCTGACCACAATCTCAAAATAGTTACTCAGCATGAGATGGCTTAAGAAATTGAGTTACATATAACCACAACCTTGGAAAAGCTTCTCCGCGAGAGAGTCAGTGATAACATTCATACAAGCTTGGAAAATAACCGCCATCTCTTCGTTTTTATTCAAAGCATGTTGGAGAAGTTGAGATCTTCTTAATCGGGCTTTCAAGATAGAGAAAGCTTTCTCTATTGGGTTGAGATCCGGGCTGTACGGTGGAAGATAAACCAGTTGAACCCCGCGAGCCTCACAAAGCTCGGCAACCCGACCGTTGTGATGGATAGGTGCGTTATCCATCACCAACACACTGTTCCGGGCTGGCCAGGGATTCATAGCGGGTAACTACCATGTTATGGCATCAAAGTCAGTGTCGATTAATTTTTTTTCCCAAAAGAAAGAGATGACTCACAAGATCGTGTTCAAGGTATTCCTCAAAGTCAATCCGCGAGTGACCACCCGCCTGGATCTTGCATGCGATCACTCCATCTAAGGAGATGGCGGGTAATACAGACCAGCGAGTAGCGGTGGTGGGCCTCTGAAGGCGAGTCGTCCTTTGGCCCATGGGTGCACGCGCGTATTCTCGATGCAATCGACGCTGTGTGATCGCACTTTCATCTGAGGAAATGAATGATTAGATATACATTCATAAAATTAAAAATAAAAATAAAATCAAATGAAGGAAAAGAAAAAGCGTACCGGTGAAAACTAAGCATCTAGGGTCGATGTCTTGAATTGATTGTATGTACGCTCCTTGTGCCGCCATTGATTGGTTGGGATGAACTGTACGGGCCTTCTTCCTGGTCCAGGCCATTCGGTTTCGCAGCTCCTTTGACAAAGTATTCGTAGAGACACGGATTCCAAACGTGTCGGTGATTTTGGACTGAAGCTCGTCGAGATATAGGGTTGGGTTGACTTCCAATGACTCAATAATGAACTGATGTTCAGCTGGTCCTAAAGAGGGAGGAGGACCTCGGGCCATGTGATCCATCGGATTGGTCACTATTGCTCGAGTGGTCAGGTACAGATCGTACCAACGCCGGACAGAGGTGAGGGAGAGTTGAATTCCGAGGGAATCGACGATTTCGCGGAACCGCATTCCTCGAAGCACCATCCGGACAACCACCATCTTGACTTCGGGGCTGTGGATGATAGGCATCTGCATGGTAACAGGGCAGGAAAGCAAGTGAAAAGGTGTTACATTTTGAAAAGGGAGAACAAGAAACTTACCACGACGCAAATGAAGGATGTGAGGTTTTGAGAAAACGAGAATGAGAAGAAATGGGGGGAAAAGGAAAGGGGGGGAAAGGGAAAACGAACAAAATACTGTACTCGTCTACTCCCGTCCGTCAATCGTGCTAACAGCGCACGTCAAATCAGGCTTCCATCGAAGGTTCACGTCATGATATGTAGAGAGGAGAAAGTGACAGCTCACTCACGGTACCAAGGAAAGCGGATTTGAAAAAACAAGTTTTAATCGAGATTTAACCCTTTTGGACAAGGTCCCTCGATGATGCTTTTAAGGGAAATCTACCATCAAATTCGTTAGTAGCTGTATAAGATACATCTGGTTGGGATTTTCAACCAAACGTGATTTTCTTCAATTAGGGTGTTCAAACCTCAAAATCAATTCATGCAAGTTTTGTGCAAGTTCTGTGCAAGATATGAATAGAACTTGCACGGATCTTGCACAAAACTTGCAAGAGTCGGTCTCGCACGGTTTTTGCACGGTTTGGAACACAATAACTCGGGTTGTCAAAAAAATTACTGTGCAAGATTAGTGCAAAAAATCTTGCACGGATCTTGCACGGATCTTGCACGTCGGTCTTGCACATTTCTTGCACAGGTTTGAACACCCTAAATGTACCCTAAACGGAGTTCATTTGATGAAAAATCAATTTGAACAATAAACCCATTTGCCCCGGGGCAATGTACCTGGGGTCAAACGGAGTTTACAATTCGTAATCGCAACCAGACGTACCCTAAGTTTTTTTTAGTTAAATCCTAATAATTTTCAATTTCTATAATCCCAAAGATTCCAGAGATTGTCTATCTTGCGTTCATAATAATGGTTCCATAATATATTCTGGAAGGGAATCTTGGTAAATTTTGTTCTAAAACACCTGCCTTTTGTTACCTATAATTGTATAGAACCTTTTTTACACCTTTCTCTCTGAAGCTTAAACTTTTATGTTCCTCAAAACAATACAGGTGTCTGATTTTTTTGTTGCCTACAATCAAATTTTATTTATCTTCAAATGACAGGGATTAGAATTTCGGAAGCCTGTATTGGTATGGTGCCTTTTCAATTATCATAACCTCCCTCAAAGTGATCTTACCCAATACCAATACTGCCAGGTCTTGCATTCATTTGAGCATTCAATTTAGTTGGGAAAACTCAAGATTCCATAGTTACCTATTTACTGAAGGGTAGTCCTCTACAAACTTTCTTCCACTAGAAAACTTATCATCTTTCACAATTTCACATATTACAAAAACAACAAACAGATTGTTCTGAGAAATAAAAGAAATCAACTCAATCCAAACTGAAAATCACTTCACTTATTCACACATTTCAAGCAAAGGAAAAAAAATTAATCACTATCATCCCATCCTTTCCCAAACAAAACCAATTTGAACCAAAAAAAAAGATGAAAAAAAACAGAAATTGTAACCCAAAATGTTCTTCGAAAAAAATCATTTAAAAAGACATCGTTCAAAAAATCTTCACCTATCTTGATTATTTCAAATCCAAAAAAACCCCATAACCTTTCTTATATCTTCTTTTGCCTTCCCTTTCAATCCCAAATGAAGAAAAAAACATAAACTCTCAAGAAATAATCAAGTTCAAATCTCAAATAAAAACTCATTAACAAATCCCATAATTTCTTGATCATGACCAATCGGATCGAGTGCCTGAACTTCAATTTCTTTAAACTGTTTAGACATCGAATTAAATTCTTTGACCCATTCAGGAACTGAAATATCTGGTTGCTTGATCGGTTCTTTAATAAGTTTAGGTTTTAAACTTGATGGGATTGGCGCTCTTTGTTTTTGGGTTACTAGTCTTGTTGATCTATATAGTTTTGATGGAACTTGCTTTGATAAACTTAGACTTGAATCTAAAAAAAAGAACAAAAAAAGTCAGTTTTGATTAATTGATCCTTGAGAAATAGAAAGGAAAACTCACAGTTTAATGAAGTGATTGATTTTGTTGATTGACCTCGTTTACGTTTTGAAGCTGAAAGTAATCCTTCAAAAGAATCTTCCAGATCCAATTCTACATCAAAAAAAACCATCCGGGTTCATCCTTAAGCGTTGAACTCGTCCGAAAGATAAGGAAAAGGTTGGATTAACTTACTGTAGGTAGGTAATGGGTAAGAAGGTTCAGGTAACCATAGGGATTTATCTCCATCCTCTAATAATATTTCATGAGTTGAGTCGATATCGTCAGTAGGCATGAAACTTCCAAGATTGAATGTATTAGGTCCTTTCAATGCATTAGTCAAATCAGACCAATCATGAACGTCTACACTTTCTCCATCCTTCCAAGCTAGATCCGTTCCATCAAACCAAAAAGAACTTATGATCAGTAAAAACAAGCTATCAAGAAAAAACGAAAGAACTGAGGCATGGAAACCAAAAAGCACTCACAAGATGTTGGAGGTCCGTATTCGATTTCAGGTAAGTTTTCAGGATCGATTTGAAATTCAGATGCATCAAATGAATTCTCTTCTTCATGATCATCAAAATCGAATTCAGGTGAAGTTTCATCAATCAAAACGGGAGGTCGACTTGGTCTTTTAGAAGTCACAGGTGTACGATAAAGTAATTTGGGTGAAGCTTGTGGTGATTTATTTGAATTTGATACTCTTGATTTAGGATGTGGTGTTGAGTTTTGTAGTTGGGTTGCGATTGGTTTGGTGATGGACGTTTGGATGGGTTTTGATGATGGTGAACGTTTGGAAAGATCTGTTGGATGTGGTACTCTTACTTTCTTGACTGTGTTTGTTTTGTCTGCTAATAAATTATGTGATATCGCTCGAGAGGCAACAGGCGTTTTGATTGCGTCTTTAAAGAGTCTTTGAGGTTCTGGATTGGTTTGAAGAACAGATTAGTAAAATGAATTGATAAAATATGGAAAAGATATAAAAACTTACCTAATTCATTCTTTGGGTTTTCATCCGAATAAATCTTAATTCGATTTGAATTAGTAGTTTTTGAAATTAATTTTTTTTGTGTAGTTGGATTTGTGATCTTGTTTGGTAAAGGTGTTTTGGATCCATATCTAGATTGAATATCTTGTAAGTTATGAGATGGTCTAATGTGGATCATGATTATGATTTGTTTGAATGGTTGAGTGGTTTGAATTGGTATATCTTGTTGTGTGATGAAGTTTGAAGGAAAGTTGAGAATGAGGATGATGAGCTCAAGAACTTCACCATGAAGAGTTCAGTTATAGTCTTCAGCGGGTCGGATAATATTCTTTGAGTGGTGTGCATGTCATTTCGAGTACCGTGCTACCGAGTAGTGAGCATGTATTCCGTGTTCCAGGGTCCAGAGTGAAAGAAAGTGGTACATAATCAAGCCAGCAAGGATATTTACAAAATGAAATCGATCATCAGACATCATCATCAACTCAATCGGGCTCACAAAACAATCCTCAAAACCAATGTCTTCCATCAATTTATCAGAAATCAATCAAATCTAACTTCTCTATCAAATCAAAATCAAAATGAATCATTACTAAATTTAATTAATCATCGAATATCAGTAAGCCTTTTAACCAAAAATATCAGACTCTCCTTTAGAAAACTAATGTATTTTTGATATTTGCTTAGGCAACCGGTCCGATTTCGATTTCGACTTATATGAACTTATGTTTAAATCATACAAGTTTAGGTTATTATTCTAAACCAGAGAGTAATAGAACGAATTTATCAGATCCGTTTGGTAAATTGGGCGATTTTATCACTTCACCTGAAATCTCTCAAATCTTTGGTGAAGTCAGTCATGAAGAAGAATCCTTTGAATGTCTACTGATGTTTTTCAAGAAGAAACGTTTTTGATTAATTTTTTTTGAATATGTTCTAGATTAGTTGATAGGTGTTTGGTTTTTAAGTAGATGGATCGATTTTGGATCTCCTGATTCGATTAGGATTATCGAATTAGGACCTGGTAGAGGAACATTAATATCGGATATTTTAAGGGTATGAAATCTTTTGACTTGGTTTCACTTTTTCTTTACTCATAGAGTGAATTTTGATTTGAATTAACTTTGATCCATTTGTTTTTTTGTTATTAGACTTTTAAATCTATTAAAAGTTGTAATCCTAAAATTAAAGAAATTCATTTAGTTGAAAATAGTCCATTTTTGAGAAAAATCCAAGAAGAAAAGCTTTCAAAAGATTTATCTAATGGGAATACTAAACTTTATTGGTATGATCGAATTGAAGAGATTCAAGAGAGTGAGTTGTAAAAACAAGTTATAGTTGCTTAAATCTGCTTACTTTTTTTTAATTTCTTTTAGGTAGTGATCATTGGAGTATGATTATTGCTCATGAGTTTTTTGATGCTTTACCTATTCACGTTTTTCAAGTAAGTCATTAAATTTTCGAACCCATATGAACGAAACCACTTATCCCTTAATTGACATCACCTTTCCAGAAAACAGACAAAGGTTTTCGAGAGATTTTAGTAGATATAGACGATAAAAACAAAACGACTGAACCGATTGGTTTGATAAAATCTATCAAACCGATTAGATTTGTTTTAGCTTCGAAACCTACTATTGGATCTCAAACATTGATTCAAGAAAAAGATTATGAAAAGTTTTCAGTTGGTTCTAAGATTGAAATCTCTCCACTTTCTTTATCTGTTGCTTTTCATCTTTCTAAACTTTTAAAACTTGGAAACGGATCTGGTTTAATTGTGGATTATGGGGATGATCATCATTTTGGTGATTCATTAAGAGTTGAGTCATTTTCTTTTTGAACCCTTTTTTTTTCTCAAGTTTCTTTTTATTAATTTTTTCGGAGTCTTTTTTTAGGGATTTTATAAACATCGGGTTGTGGATCCTTTACATAAACCTGGCTTAACAGATCTCACAGCAAATGTGAATTTCTCAAAATTAAAAGAAATCATGAATCCATTCTGTAAGCCCGTTGTTGATCCTTTGAAAAAAAATCATGAAGAAAAAAGCGGTACAGATCCTGATGATCAAATGTATGTTTTAAAGGTAAGAGTTATGGACCGATTTCACAAAGAGAATTTTTATTGAAAATGGGAATCGAAGTTCGAAAACAAAAATTAAAAAATACAGATCAAAGTGTTGATAGATTGATTTCACCACGTGGAATGGGAACTCAGTATAAGTTTTTAGGGATTGAAAGTTTTAGAAAACATCAACATGATGATGAAGGTGTCCAGGAAGAAGTTTATCCTTTTTCTTAGTCTTGGAGATTTTGAATGAAAGATTCTAGTTTGAATTTTTGATCAGATGGAGTTGAATTTAAACTAATTATGGAATTGGGATTGAGTTTTTTGGATTAGATTTGATTGCAGTCCTTGGTTTTGTAATTGGCTGATCAAAGTAAAGATCACTTAATATAATTTTTTTTTGAAATATCAAGTGATGATCTTTCAAAAATAAACCAGTCTTTGAATGAGTGAAACTTGATGGGATTCAGCTCAAAGAATTGTGAAGAGATATTTAAGCATTGGATTTGTTTGTGTCATCAAAAACAATTGTAATTGCATAGGTTATTTTTTTGTTGCTTTTTTGTAGGATTAGAATTATGAATGGATCAGATCTTGTTAACTAACCTTGTGGTATGGGGTCTGGGTCCCATGGGTAAGCGCTGTTCTCACACCCGCGTCAGTCGTCAGGGATTCATGACAGTTCAGGACGCGAAGCTACGCGGTGCCCACTGCAAACTCCATGCAGCTGTACAGCTGCTGTAGTTGTATGTATGTAGGCCTAACATTGAAGGGTTCCTCACGTTTCCCCGAAGCTGCTGCTGAGGTCGCATCTGTCCTGTACGGTGTACGTATAGACTCATACCAACATATAAACATCACGTGGGTAAAACATGTAATTTTTCCATGTCATGTTTGGTCGAAATTCATCCCCAAGCCAAATAACGTACGACACGGCTCATACTGACACACATTGACATGGATTTTTGATTTACAAATCCCGTGTTGTAACATGAGTCATCTCGTACATCGTACCGTCCGGGAAGTGTCATACCAACACAACATGACACCAAATGTGAATTTCTCCAAAATATTGCATTTGGATCGGACTGTCCGATTTTTGATGCATTTTTCTCTGCAATCAAGAGTTTTAAAAAAAATTAAACACTCAATCCTAGCTCTACAGTCAACTATCTTTATTCAATAATCCATCTATATTATTATTACTCTGTCTTTCTCTTCCACAAATAATGACAAAACAAAACAACATAGCTATCATCAACACAGTACTGGAAAATGGTTTCAACAACAGACTCACCATACGAGAAATACAAGATAACCTTGTGAAAGAAGGAATCACAATGACTGAGAGAACAATCTATTGACATTGTAAACGTTTGGATCACAACAACACCAAGCCACCTTTTTGCAAGGATCAGCTGGAAAGACATAATGCCATAAGCAAACACTTCCATGATGGAAAATCAATTGAATAGATGCTCATATGTGTACTCTAACATATGGGTTGCATTTTGTTTTATGTGTAATGCTTTGTTGGATCACAACTGGGATGACACTCTCTTTGAAGGAAAAGATCTCAATGTTTTTGGTACTTTACCGTGAATATCTTACACATTTTTATTTGAAAACTCATATTTTGTATGCGTCTCAACCACAAGTATACCTTGAAGTATATGAAAAAAACAATACTGATTCATAATTTGAAAAAAGGAGCCAGATTTTTATAAAGATCGGAAAATACATGAATTAAGTCAAATGACAAAGATTTTAATCTTGCTTTGAATGCTTCCATCCCATCCTTCTCCTTCTTACTTTTTATCATATCACATTTCCTTTTGAACACATTTCTGTGATGGAGATCTATACTTCTTCTTACCACTAATACCAAACCAATTAAAAGAATATCAGTTAAAGATTCCTTATGGTCAGACAGCAACCCACTTTCAGTGTCCATCCCACACTTGGATAATGATGACTAGGCTTGCATAAGTTCTGCGTCAAACCCTACCCACAAGAATCTGGTGCGTGAAGCCAACCCAGCCTTGGGGAGGACAAGTACAGTTGAACCTCAGCAGTGACCATAGATCATCATGATCCAAAACCAATTTGATAGAGGAATAGCATTGGTGACATCAAGTAGTTCCGCATTCACATAGTGAAGAATGAACATGCAAGATACAATTCTATCCCCTATCAAATTGGCCTGTGAGACTTCTGTGTAGACTGCTATCTGACCATCATGGAAAAAAAAGTAAGTTTCATCTCACATCATTACCATGTTTTAAATAGACAAATCTAAAAATCAGCAAGTTGAATTACTTTCAAGAAGTTGAAATGGTTTGTTTTGAGTTGAATTAGATGAGATTGCTTATTTTGATTACAAATGAAAGATTCCATGATGAACTGTTGATATGATTGATTTCAGGTGAATCAGATGAAGAAGATCAATCTTGATTGGATCAGATGGAGACGATCGATCTTGATTGAATCAGATGGAGATGATCAATCTTGATTGATTTGGATTGAAACGATTGTTTTGATTGAATTGGAGGGGAAAAATGATTGATTATGATTCAATCAAATGGAAAGGATCAATTGAAGATAAGATCAATTTCGTGCCTAATCACTAAAAAACATTAAACCAATGTCAAAGTAATCATTAGTAAAATGTTGAAGACTTGTTTCCTAGGAAATAAGAAATGGATTGAAAGGGGGTGGGACTGGGAAGAGGAATGGAATCTAAACCTGATCAAGAGAACAGTTCATTAATTGAACACAAAAGAAAGGTACTTTTGATGGCAAATCAATAAGTTCCAAGTTGAATATTGTGAGTACTGCAAAGATAGAAGGAGTTGAAATACTTACCCAAAGAAACAAAAGTGAAAGATGGAATGTTGGAGTTGGTAGGTGGGAAGGGTTGATGATTTAAAAGGTACTTTAGACCAGAGCTTGGTTTAAGAACTTTCTTTTGGATTTCAAATTTCAAATATGAACTACAGTTTGGCTGAATGCTGTTTAGCACAATGTGATTTAACACTCCAGTGGTGAATCAGGCAAAGCTATTAGATGTGATATGGTGTCATGTTGTTTGTCGGTATGACACTTGTTGGCCGTCAGATCATCTGCCATGACTCACATTACGACACAGGATTTGGAAAACAAAAATCCATGTCAATGTGTGTTGGTATGAGTCATGTCGTACGGTTTTTGGCTCAGGGATGAATTTTGACAAAACATGACATGGAAAAATTACATGTGTAACCCATGTCATGTTTATATGTTGGTATGAGTCTAAAACGTACACCGTAGTCCTGAACCACTTCAGGATTTGTCGAAAATGTCGTCCAACGCTGAAAGGGCAGAAGATGCTAGACTACGAGGTAACACTTTCTACAAAGCCTTGCAGTTTCATAAGGGTACGACTCACAACATCTCTACGCGATTCCGGTGCACTTCTTTTTGTTTTTCTTATGGAAGAGGTACATACTGATGATATATGTACAAACTTTTCAACAGCCATTATAGCTTAAAAAGTAGCTGCTGCACTTGTTCCTTCGGACCCCACTCCCCTGTCCAATCTATCCGCTGCCACCTTTCAGCTGGGAGATTATGAGAAAAGCATACAATTTTCTATCAAGGCTCTAGCTCTACTTGAGAAAGAGGCTGATGACGATCCTCAAAAACAAAAACTGCTCACTCGTCTTAGCAAGGCCAGGCGTTACCAGTCTGATCCTGACAATTCTGTTGCCAAATAATCACTCCGAAAGGCCATCTTCCGTTTACCACGATACAGACCTCTATTAACTAACTTTAGGGCCTACTTTGCTTATGGACATGATGCTCCAAAGTCTCTGTACGGCCAAACACTGAAGTGCACGACAAAGAACGCTCCAGTTGTATCCTTTATGTTCTGTGGGATTGGCGACGCTCGTAACATGCTGCAAACTATGATAGATTATCAATTCAGTGGTCCTCCATCTGACCAGTCTGATCAAAGGCTTCATTTTACTATCTTGGATATCAAACCGGCCATGTTGGCACGCGGCTTGATCTTATTCTTACTCTTGGACGACATCTCTCTCAACATGCGACTCGCTAATCAAAAGAAGTATACGTTAGGAAAACAACCTGCCTGTGATATCACCGAGTTACTCACCACAGCATCATATTTTTACGTGACTCAAGTTATGCCTGCTTATGCTTTGGAGAAAATTCAATCAATCATTCAGCAACTCCTTGACGCTTTTGCTAATTCCAAGCAACCAATATCTTGGGTTCACATTCCTGTCACGGTCCAGGCCGCAGTCGGATCCACTCTTGAATCATGGAAACAAGGGCCATTTGGTTCATATTCAGCTCAACATTTTCGCAAGATCATACAACAAGGCAACTTCAGACCAGACACACTATCTTCTCACCTCATGACAAAAACAAACTCCACAGGAATACAACGTATATGAATTGAATGGATTCATTTTCTTTGACAATTTCATTGCAGTGATCCTTCTATTTCCCTTATCTTTCTCTTAAAAACTGTTGGTATTCCTAGAACTTGAAGGTACTTCATCTCTTTCAGCTCATAAACATAGCATACCTTACTTGGAATTCACTCATTGAGACAATTTAGCTGGATGTCCGGCAAGAATTTGAACATTCACTGCATTTTTGTCAATGTCCAACTTACTTGAACAAGATGTTCACTGCCAGCATTAAATAGGTTCCCTGGTCGGAACATGACCTAGGCTGGGAATATCATTGAGAGAAGAATGGAGCATCAAATCATCTTGAACTGCACATCTGAGCCATAAAGCATACACTACATATGTGCAAACTTCTGAGTAAATCCTTAGCTATCAGCTACATACAGGTCCGCTCATTTGTCTGCCCATCTAGATAAGAAAATCATGTGTAATACATGCTGTAACTTTGCTCAGATTGAGACACACATTTCAAAATATTGACTACATATATCACAATGGCTACTCAGGAAATATTCATGGAACTGTGTAACAGTAGCAGGATGGGAATCTGATCACTAGGACCCAGATTCCCATCTGGGAACCTCTTTAATGCTGGCAGTGGTTCAGATACAGTGGGTCTCATCAAAGCCCAACTACCCCCCCGTAGGGGGGGTTCAAAATTTTGGCCTCTGAGGACCTCGAAAATCAGTGAAAAAAGTCATTTTCACCGTGCGATTTGACTGATCTGGGGTTGGATTCCGCTTTGGGAACCCACTTTTACCAAGTTTAAAGCCATATATTACCCTCTGGTACCCATATAGTAAGCCTAAGGATGTGTTTAAATGTGCTCGGTTTGAAATATTGCCCAAATGTCTAAAAAAATTTTTTTTTGCCTCGCACGCGTCCATCCTCATAGGATTAGAATGAGATAGGTCCCCCGAGCCCATTAAGCTTATTAAAATGTGTGCTATGTAATTATGAGGTGTGTATAATTCATCTCGAACTTGAAGTTTTGCTTTGCGGGCGCGGGGTAGTTGGGCTTTGATGAGACCCACTGTACTTGATTAATTCATCATTCTCGCGTTTTCATCTCTCAATCCTTACAAAAGTTTTGAATATCAACAAAATAACGTGCTGAGAGCATCCGCACTCGTTTGCGGTTGTTAATTTGGTCACGTGCGGTAACAAACACAACATTAAGTAAAAAGTTACTTAACTCAACCAAATTTCGCACTCGTTTGCATTAGCAGCGCTGTAACTTTTATAACTTTACAGATAGTGCATGTACTCCGCACCGGTTGTGCAGTAAGGTAAAGTTTTAATTTTTTGAGTACACATCACCTGCTTTCATGGCCAGTTTTCATGTGATAGAGGCACTGTTCTCTTCTTTGCACTAAGATACTAATACTCCATCTACACATGAAGACCCGATATCATCCTGTTCATCTACTCGATCGATAGATCTTAATTTAAAATTACAAATTTAACATGAGTTTGTTCAGATCTTAATACATGAATTCCAATTAAAAAACAAAGGCTTTACTACATCGAGAAAGCTTTTAATGAGTCTGAATACACATAATGATCTTGTAAAAGATTTAAAGAATTTAAAACTAGGAAATAAAAATCCAAACTTCAATTTTTAATTTGTATCACTTGATCCTAAAAGTCCTCCAATGATTGGTCTTTTAATGTTGATTTTCTTAAATATTGACCTCTACATAGCTATATGAATCTAGACATCTTTCATTTTCATCTGAATGGTTTGGAGTCGAGTTCAAGATGGTTGATTGACTTATTTCAATTGAAGACATCGATCGGTGTCGAACGTTCTCGAGTTGATTCATGCAACTGTAAGGCTTGGAATTCATCGTGTGTGAGTGGTGAAAAGGAGATATTGGTTGTTGACTTTGGTGTTGGAGGTCTGGTTGAGTTTTGTTTTTGGAGTCGAGTTGCCGGGAACAAGTCGTGATGTGTGATACCGCATGCGTTAGCCAATTGGTAAATTTACCGATTCGCTAACGCAAAATGACCGAAAATTAACTACCGCGGGGCTAATTTTTCACCGGTGTGGAAAAGACCCCGCGTTTGCGGTAAATTTAACCTTACCGCACCCGACTTACCGCACGAGTGCGGATGCTCTGATAAGATCAACGGGATCCTCGATGAGATTGAGGATTGCCACGGGGCTGGACATTGTCCAGGGTCGGCACCTGGTCACTGGGGCTTATTTCGGGTCAGGAAGGTCATTTTTGTGGATTTTGACGACGTGACTCAAGTGAAGCGGCACTTTAGAGCCAATTGATGAATCAAAACCTTCAACGTACTTATTCACGTACGACTTTTGCGACGGCCATGTGAAACATCTTCGAACCAGACCATGAGCGTCTTACCACTACCACCGAATGCGCGATACCCGGTCAGCCATGCCCGTACCTCGGCGTGGTTTGAGCTCGCTCTCACTCAAAGGTGCAGAACTACATGGGCCTGCACGGACTAGATTTTTGTCCTCAGACAGTACCGCTCATGCCGTAATCCAACGTAAGCAAAATGGTGTTGCCAATCATCTAGCCGACTTGATGACCGATGATTCGTACGGAGGCAGATCCGTTGGGTCAATCTTGTGCATCCCGAAGACATTTTTTCGATGGGCCACTTCTCCAAAGTCAGAAGAGAAGTGGCTAATAAGTCAAAGAGGGACTGGATTTAAACACCATCAAGACGGTCAAGATTGTTTCCAGTTACCCACAAGGGTGGCAAGAGGTGGCAAGTATGTTGATCAGCCATTCATCCACTTGGCCGTGGGTATACTCAGAGTTAACTAGCCATCTCCTCCTTCAGGCCCCTGCTGGGGTTGAACCGTCTCTCCAGGTCTAAGAGAAGATCAAGCCATATTGATTGTCGGCCTGGATGAGAAGTGCCAGAGAAGAGGCGCCATCCGGTTGAGGTTGAAATCCCCGATCTTCAGATTCAAAGAAGCAGAAAGCTATTACTATGAGTCTTCCCTCCAGATCGGATCGACTTCCCATTCTATCCTTCACTCATCCTTAATTTATTCGCTGTCTCTGTCAGATCTCTCGTCTTTTGGGTTTTCTGTGTCACGCTCCTTTGAAACTATCAACGACCGGTGGTCATTCACGATTGGCAGGGCCTCCTTGCTGTTACTTTCGAAGTCGGGATCAATACTTCAACACTATGTCTCAAGATCATCTGTCTGTACCCTTGTTGGAAATCATGCACAGTGATCAAACAGCAGATGCCGTCACATTCGGACTCAAGCATATCTACATGATCAACACTGTCATCACCGCCCTAGTACGTATTGTCTTTATCCTTATCCGCTTTCATGTTCATTTCTTGCCACTTTACCTTATCATTGCTTACAGAAGATGATCTGACGCTTCTTTTCCGATGATCAGTCAGCACTTGGTGGTGTGACTATGATCTTGCCCTTCATATTTATTCCCCAATGGAGACAAAAAGTTCGGCATAAATTGATTTTGGGACTAGGAATATCCGACATCAGCACAGGTCACTTACATTTCTTATAGTTCACTTCATGAGCCATGTTTACCTGATCATACTCAATCGACGGCTAATTCCGGTTATCTGTCTTCGTCTTCAATTTAAATAGCCTTGTCTGTCTTGATACCTTCAATTCATCTGTTACGGGGGGGTGAACTCGATAGAGCAAGTCCATTATGTCAAGCGGATGGGTTTTTCTATGAGGCCACAGTGTTGACAAGCTCATTCTGGACAGTGGGGTAAGTCTTTCCATGTTCCATCCTCGCAAAGCAGTTCTGCTTTACTGATGAGTGTTCTTATGTATAGCATTGCCGTCGTGACCTACACATTGTTGATTCGGCCCATGTCAATTTTTGCCGCGCTTCTTGCTAGACCATGGACTTTTCCTATCCTGTTTGGGTTGGTCTGGTTGGCTGGATGCATAATATCTGGAATTGGGATCTACTTGAACCCAATGGAAGACCTCGAGGGCTTCTGTTTTTATGGCGTTCACGGCGAGCTTTATGGCCAACTTTCCCTATTTCTCCCACGGTGAGTCTTTACAAACGTTGAACGAGTAAGTGAGATTGGAAACTGACATATAGAACCTATGTGGTTATATAGTGTGGTTGTTTCTTTTGTGACGATCGTTCTCTACTTGCGGCTGTTCTTCTTCTTTCGTAGACAAGATTCTTTTGCAGTAGTTTCCTGTCCACGTACTCGCTTAGACTCTGTCATTGAACAGGATTTACCCGGTGCACATCCTAAATCAAGAAGGGGATCGGTACAAGTCTTGATCGATAAGGCTCGTTCGCTTAGTGTCAGCACCGCATCAGGACGCAAAGTGTCAAAGGACTCGGAAACAGCTCTTGTCGAACCAATCGTTATGACCGAAGCGCCGTTGCCTCAAGCTGGTCCCGGAAGAGAAAACGCTCTCGTGCGGCCACTGTGTCCCCTTCCTCGCTATTCTGACGGGTCTTGGCTGAATTCCTCTGGCAAGGCTGCCACTCCCGCTAGTGGCTGCAAGGATCCTCAAACAGCATGCCTGGAGCCTAACACATCTTCTATCCTTCCACCTCAATCTGTTCCGCCCTCCTGCACCAGTTCAACCGTTGGTGTATCTATCAAACCTGACATTAATAACCCATTCCCGCTTTTCACTCTATCCGCACCTCCGCCATTCCAAACCACCTCAACTTCATCGCAAAGCGAGATCTCTTCAGTCGGGCTAGGATCACAGCCATCGAATTCTACCAATGTTGAAGATCCTTCGACTGAGCCAGCACCAATATCAAATTCGGTCTTTGGCAATTATTCCATTCTAGCCGGTCCAACATCAACAGTCCCCACACAGCTCCCATTCACGCGTCAGCCGTTTGTGTCAGGTCCGACGGGCCCACCAGACATCGCACCGGAGGAACCTGTGGTCTCACCAAGCTCAGAAGGGAGTGCAACCACAACTCCAGCTTCAGAAGACGTAAACCAGAAACCGCCTTTAAGACCAGGATTGTGTAAAGCGCAGAGATCCTGGAATTGGTTCAGTTACACACAAAGCAATGCTTCAAGTGCACTCACCAAAGAGGTCAAGGAAACCTTCAAACCGGTGCGGGTTCCAAGAGCGGTTATTATCGAGCCCCTTCCGATTGAACGAATCCAGCGCTCACATCCAACGACGTTGATCCCATTCTCGAACAACATTAAACGACTCAGTGGGCAAGAGCTAAATAGACGGGCAAGCATGTTGATGCTTCTCTACCCAGCGGCTGTGAGTAATCATGCCCTCGCACATTCAGAGGTTTGAGACTGACACTCAACGAAATTATGACAGTATACCGTCTTGCTCTCTGTCTCATTGGCCCGATTGGTACTCGAGATGGGCCACATGCATCCCAATCCATACGTGAATGCGATATCCAAATGGCTGATCATGTCTTCAGGTTGGGTCGATGCGGTGATTTTCATGTGAGCAATTCTTGTTCTCATTGACACGGATCTGACCTTTTCATGGCTGACATCTCTTTCTTCTTCTACTCTTCCTTGCCCACCTCCTTTTTGGTTCAACCCTTTTTTATCTCTCTTAGTTTCATCGAATGGACCTTTCGACAGGCAACTCGAAACTCACACTGAGTTGCAGCTTAGTCTGGCTGGCTTCTAAACGTCAAGAATCAGACCAACGAGAGCAGATCGATGTATACCGAACTCATTCACGTCCAGGCACCTATCCTTCACACCATGGCATTTTACGAGCGTCGTGGATTGATAGCATCAGCTTCATCAGCTGTTCAATCCATTGTACCGTACACTTCTCTTGCGTAACCTCTTCCATAATCATACCTTACCTCGTAAACGTTTCTGTCGAGCTGTATGGGGCCAGGTCTCTTTGAGTTCACCAGGAAACAAATCATCATCTCGAGGAAAGATAGTAGACATAACAAATAATCTTCAATCACAAATCTTTTTTTCAATACCTTAATACCTTTTGCCATAATAAAAAAAATGGGCTTTCCTGAATAATTTTTCTGTTACACGTGTGTATGAGATAAGATTTTTTTTTGGGTGGATTTGATGCATTTCTTGTTTTGTATTGTCTGTTGTCTAATGATTTTTCTGGTTTAAATTTTGTGGAATAGAAATTTATCAATATATGCTTTTAAATTAATCACTTCAATGTTCTTCAGGAAATCATCCTAAGTTTTTGTGTCCCATGATCGCTTATCATTCTTGCCGCTAGTTGGTTGCTTGATGTCAACGTTTTCCAATAGGTTATGCCTATAAACTCGCTTTTTCTGATGGATGTAGTAATTTCACAACAAAACAGCAGATGGATGATTGCCAGATTCATCCATTCTCAAGTCTTACAATATCTGATTGTAGATGTGGTCAGGTAGATGTATGGTTTTTATCATTGCAGATGTTCTGTATAGTGTATTCTGCCTGAGCTGGTGTGCCCTAGGTAAACCATAATTTCCCCTGTTAAGAGAGGGATTGGTTTCTTGGGGAGCTGCCCAAAAGAGCAGGGGAAGGTAGGACCACCTGCAACCGTATATGGGGGAGCTCTGCACAGTGGGCTAGGCAGAACCCCTCTACACTACAATATTTCCTATGTGAATGATCTTTGACTACTTACTAGGGTCATTTGCACTTTTGACCAGCCCAATATAAAATTAGTAGAAACCCAAAAGAAAACTAACTAGAGACCAAACGTACTATAAACACTCACTACCTCCCAACGGCGGAGGGCGGGCTAGAATAACACAAAGGAGTGAGAGAAACAGGATGACTGAGTATCATAATCCAACACAGTGAGATATTCAGGAAACCTGAGAGGAAACTACGTGTGGAAAAAGGATTAAAATTTTCACAAATTTACATTTTCTCAATAGTATCCTTGGTATGGGTATAATTTCTCAGGAATGCCCCAAGAATAATATCTCCATTATGTCATGGAAAGTGGTGGTACCATTGTGCCTTTGGGTACCACCTATCATTTTCCTAGATCAACATGGCAAATCTGATCTATTCAGCATGACACCTAGGTGTTGAAATAAGAGATATACACAGTGCCTGTGTGGACTATCCCATACACCTGGGGCTGAAACAAGTACACTACGGGGTGATCCTACACCACGGGGTGATCCGTACCATTGTTTGGCGGCCATGGAATACCGCCGTACGGCAAGATTTGCCTGGTGGTGGATGCTCGCCGCCAGATGATCAGTGGCGCGGTGGTCCAATTAGGAGATACAAAGTAGAAAGCCGGGCATGTGCCCACAAGTCCAGATCTCAAATTTTGGCTGTAAAATTGGGATCTGGACTTGTGGACACGTAGCCGGGCATGTGCCCGGAAGTCCACATCCCAAATTTTGGCTGTAAAATTGGGATCTGGACTTGTGGGCACATGCCCGGGCACGTGCCCGGCTTTCTACTTTGTATCCCCTAAATGGCTAGATCGCCTTACCGCTGTTAGACAAGCCATCTGGCGGCTTACAGACCTTTTCCAAGGAGATGTTTCCAAGCAAAGTTTATCTGCCAATCATCGGGGAGCTGATTGAGGGAACCTTTTTGTTCCCTCCCATAGCCACGTGATCCACCCCTGGTGGGTTAAGGCATCAATGTTGAGGAAGATGTGGAGGAGCTCTCAGACCAAAGAATGGATTCTGGGAGCTCTCTCGCTGTCAGAATAAAAAAGGGGAGGCTACAACCACGTCTATGGAGGCAATTGTGAAAACCGGACCTTAACTTCACAACCTCCGGTTTCACGTTCCTTGAAGACATTTCCTCTTACCGTCTTCTGCTCGCCAAAAGACTGGTTGACATCTTGACGGCCTACCAGCCAAAATCTGGCCAAAATCCCAGCTTTTGACCGGAAATCAGCTGGTATAGCTGTACCAGCCGAAATCTGGTAAAACACTGGGATTTTGGCAAGTGTTCAGCCAGATTTTGACACGACTAACTTTTTGCTGGTATTCCAACAAAAACTTACCCCGTGGTGTACAAAGGCTTGCATCTGTATTATTAAGGGCCCAGGACATCTAGGGCACCCTCCACAGGCACAGTGCTATCACAAGTGCATAAATATTGCAATTCTTGAATGAGTGCACTTGGATCTGCCAAACGTAGGGCACCTTCCAATTGTTTTCAGATATTATCTGACCTGAAAACCAAATTTTGGTTTGCCCATATTTCAAGAAGCACATTGAGATAGTTGTAAATTGCATATACAGATCACAAAACAGCAAACTAAAAGAGGTCAAATGACTTCTGTTGACCTCATAATGATCAGATTGCTGTTTGGTGATTGCACTTTCAACTTGTATATATTGTTTTTATTTGACTAAATATTTCAAAACCGTCTTCCAGACCTTCCTTGTTTGCTCACTTCTACACCACTTTCCGTAATTACCAAGTTGTGATGTCCTTGCACCACATCAGTTTCAATCAAATCATGTGTTATTGACAACCCATTTTGAGCCCGCTTGATCCTCATGACTACACCCAAAATCAAAAGCTCTTACAATGAATAGGAAAGGACATAAAAAAAGTTGAGCAAGTGAAAAACTGATTGAATAACAGACTTGAGGAAAGAGAAGACTTGAAAACAAGGGAACTTGCAATCAAAACTAGTAGATGGAAAACTAGACAGAATGGATGAGATTTTGAGGACATCTGAGCAAAGCAGTGAGTATTGAAAAAGGTGAATTCAAAAAGGTGTGTGGTTGAATAAAGATTGAGAAAGGTCATCAGAAGTTAATGGAGGAGGGGCAAATAGAGATATTGGTCCCAGATACAGCCAAAAGTCTGTATCTAAATGTGGACAAACATCTAACACTATGTTCGTTCCCGGGTAGCGCAACAAAGTGCACACACCAAGAGGCTTGAAAAAAATTAATGATTTCTGACTTTGTTCAGCTGTTTGACTGATCTCTGAGTACCAGCGCTCCTTTATAAACAAACAATCAAGAAATTGGGGGTTTCAATTGGCAGATAGATGTTGGAAGAAAGGTCCAGATGGCCTTTGTTCAATGTCTGATAGTGCTGACCAGGTCAATGACAAACTGCAATTTTTGGAAGACTTTAAGAGCATCAGACTGTCTTTACTAGTCAAGGAAAAATCTGGTTGGCCATATCGTGTTGCTGAAGCAATATGTGCTGATACCGTAGTTAAAGATTGGTTGCAAGGCTTTTCAAGCAAGGAAAAGGCAAATTGTCTCCATCCTATATTGTGTTGCCAATACCCGATATGGAAAATCCTCACTCCTCATATTGGGTTGGCTGAACCGACATGGGAAAAACCAATGATTTGGTGTTGGGTTGGCAACACAAAACCAATCCGATACCGACATCCACACCTGATTGGTTTGGGTGTTGATGGAATATTCCTGTAGCCACTAATTTGATGGGGATGGGTGCATTTGATGAAGAGGATCTCAAGTTTCTACATATGTTGGGTATGCATGGATCTGCTTATGCTAATTTGGCTATGCAAGATGCGGATGTGATCATTGCTCTTGGTGTAAGGTTTGATGATCAAGCCACTGGAAGAGTTGATGGTAAGTCTTCCTTATCCTATTATTTTTGTTTTATGAAAACTTTCAATCGTTTTTTTAGCTTTTGTACCTCGTGCTGCACTGGTACAATCCGCTTGGGTAAGATTCAATGATGATCACTTGTCATCTAGCAGCAGCTCTGAGCTACTGTAACAAAACATTATGGTCTATACAGTTGTATTTAGCAAGAAAACTTTGAGAAAAAAAGTTGAATGTTATGATATATGGTATAAGCGCTAAGTTCTTTAAGATAAAAATTAATGAAGGAGTAAAGATTTAGTATGTGCTTGTGTAAGTGTTCCCCCAAAGATACACACAGCTAATGATGGCCTGATAAGTGAAACAATTGAAGATACAAACCATAAGATGAAAAGATCATCACTGGTATTGGGTTTGAATAGATTTTGAATCCTTGACTCTTCTCTGATTGAGATTGCTGGGACCACTAGGACCTTTGAACTTTTGTACCAGTTTATGGAAATTTTTGAATCCATAACAAGGAGAACCTTTGAATAGTAACTTTTTGGGGTCTTGGTGCGTGCCAGTGGTTGTAATCACTCATTTCCTACGGCTAAATCTGGGGTCCCCCCCAGAAGCACTGAAACTTGTAAAAGAGTTTCAGCCTTTTGGCAAGAAGATAAAAGATTTAGGTAGGCTAGAGCTTGGCTTTGACTCCCTTTCTATGGTGTAGTCACAAGATGGCTTGTGGAGCTGAATCTGCCCTCTAAACCTGTGCTCTATTTATATTCTTTTTTTGGCCCATAAAAGTTCTCTGGGGTGAACCACAGGGATTTTACATTTCTTTTTGTTCACCTATTCAGTGTGAAATCAATCTAGCTGATGCTTTTCATTCTTTTTTCCTCAAATGATTTCTTTGTACATCTAACAACAAAACTTTCATCTTATGCACTTGAAGCAACAGGAAAGTGTCCAGTTTACAATGCTTCTCTTTCTACACCTATTTTGTGCAACAAAGGTTCATTACATCATGATGCAAAGTCTTTCTACATGTGTTGTGTGTCCCATATGCAAAGTATTTCATCAGTTTCTTATTCTGTTTCCCAATGAGTTTCCTCCTTCATGTTTACAATGTGTTGATCTATCCAACACCTCTCTATCTTCAATATGGAATAGAGTTATTCACTATGTATCAAGATGCAATATGTGATGTCATCTCTTCTGATGTGGTGGTTGTGCCTCATGCTACTAATGATTAGTCTAATGTGCCTACCAAAAGTTTTCTATAAAAAACCTGCCACATGCTTTTTTTATGACTTTGACACTCTGAAAAAACAAATCATGCAAAATTGCCTTTGGTTGACCACATCATGAATTTTACGGATGTCCTCTTCCAACCTTTGCACTCTGTAAAAAAAGAAAATTTGTGAAATCAGCATCTCAGTCATGGAAATACAACTTTACAGCCACCCAATTACGGTAAAAAAATCAAAAGTTCTTATCACTCAAAAAGAGAAAACCCTTTGGGACTTCAAGTAGATTGATTTTCAAGAATTTATTTGATAAATAACCATGCCTGAAATCATCTTCACTTGATTTCAAATCACAATGAGAATTGAAGCATGGACTACCCCCACTTCACCACTACATTACAAAACAGCCAAAACAACACATAAAACATGTAGGAAAACAAAGATCTTTAAGCACAACACTGAGAATCTGACACAGAGAACCTTTGTAAAGGTTGATAACTATGATCAGCTCTAGTGTTGACAAGACCTACCACTGACAAAAATAAAAGAGAGCAAGTTCTAAACTTGACAAACCTGAAGGAACAGGGAGGATTTTGAGATGAAAGAACTACTCAGAGTGAAACATAACAGAGTGAATAACAAAGAGAACAAACAAAGGAAATCACTGCCAGCATTAAAGAGGTTCCCAGATGGGAATATGGGTCCTAGTGATCAGATTCCCATCCTGCTACTGTTACACAGTTCCATGAATATTTCCTGAGTAGCCATTGTGATATATGTAGTCAATATTTTGAAATGTGTGTCTCAATCTGAACAAAGTTACAGCATGTATTACACATGATTTTCTTTTCTAGATGAGCAGATAACTGAGCAGACCTGTATGTAGCTGATAGCTAAGGATTTACTCAGATGTTTGCACATATGTAGTGTATGCTTTATGGCTCAGATGTGCAGTGCAAGATGATTTGATTCTCCATTCTTCTCTCAATGATATTCCCAGCCTAGGTCATGTTCCAACCAGGGAACCTATTTAATGCTGGCAGTGAAATATCAATGCAGACAGTGAATAAAGCTTGAGCACGGTTCTCAACACAATAACAGATGAGAGCAGGGTACCGGTAATAACTCATGTTCAGAATCTTTTTCCTCAATGAGGGAAAAAGATTCCAAATGTGAAGAGAGGGATGATTATATGAGAAAAACAACCCAGGTGAATTTTCAATACAAAATAACATGAACCTCCCTTAATTTAATTCCTCCTGATTCATCAACCCAATCTGGTCATTCCTTCTAACTTGTCCACACACTTTTGATATTGTTCAATCCAAATCTTTCAATCAATTCATTTCACCCAATCACATGTAACACACTTCTGATACTTAAGCCTTATTTGTTTTGACTTATCCATGAACACAATTTACTCCAACACACCCCCTCAAGACAAATAAGGATACTTGAGACCTAACTTACTGCACAGTTTGATGAATTGTTGTCTACCTAAGGGTTTTGTGGGCAGATCCGCCACCATATCACCAGTTGGAAAGTAACTAAGGGAGAGATCACCAGGATTTACAACCACTTGAATCCAATGATAGTGGATCTCAATATGTTTTGTACAACCATGACAGATTGATTTGGTGGTGAGATGAATAGCTCCCAAATTTTCACTCTGAAGCTCAGTGGGATTAGGATTTTGGCAACCAAAACCTTCCATGATGCAACACGGCCAAAGGAGTTCCCAACCGGCCTCAGTGATGGCTTGGTATTTTGCCTTGGTAGACAAAAGAGCCACTGTTGGTTGTAGTCAACTTTTCCAGGAAAGTGCGCCCCCAGTCAACATGAAGATGTATCCTGTGGTAGAGCTTCAAGTGCTCTTGTTGCCTGCCCATTTGGAATCACAGTGAGAGATCATATAATCAAAGCTTTTCTGACCTGAAACTTTTGAGTTGTTGTTTCCACAGTAAGTTATTCCTAAGTTGACAGTACCATTTAAATATTGGAAGACCTGAAGAGCGGCATTCCAGTGCTGAATTGCTGGTTGATCTAGGTGTTGTGAGAGAACACCAGTGGCATGAGACGAGTCTGGCTTGTGCACTGGGACAAATACATTAGTGACCCTACAGTGCTCCTGTAAGTTATTTAAAGTAAAGAGAAACTTTTGACCTCTTTGTTGATTTCACAATAGAGTTTAAGATTTGGGGTAAGAGGAGTAGAAGCCGGTTTAGACATTGTCATGTTGAACCTTTCTAAGATTGTACCAGCAAAACAACTTTGAGTGAGAGATTAACCATGTGAGTTCTTTCTTGATATTTCAATTCCAACAACAGTTTGAGCTAATCCCAGGTCTTCCATTTCCCACTTGGATGAGATCTCTTTCTTGAACCTGAATACATATATCATCTCCTGTGACAGCCATGTTGTCTACATGCACGTAAACAGCCATAAATAATTGATTTGTTTTGTCTGATCTAATAGAAATACAATGATCATTTGGGTTTTGTAGGAACCCTATGCTCATGAAATAATCTTGACAATCATCCTGCCATATCTTAGGTGATTTCTTGAGATCATACAATGACTTGCTGAGTTTAAGCACTTTGTGTTCCTGACCTTGAATCACATACCCCTCTGGTTGCTCCAAGTAAATTTCATTGTCAAGAATACCATTGAGGAAAGCCATTACCGCATCCATCTGATGGATATCCCAACCATTGAGAGAAGCCATTGCCACAATGAGTAAAAAAGACACTGGTTTTCTGGTGGGTGCAACACCCAAACCGCTACGACACGCTATGGAATTTCACCGTTTTCCATAGTGGTGCACAGCCTGCGCTATGAGCCCGATCGCTCCGGCTGCACTATTTAGACAAAAAAAAATTCTCACGATGTCGAAGCGGTACGTACCGCCATTTTTGCGCTATATAGCGCGCTATATGAGAGGGCGCTATGGGTTGAAGGTATTTCAAAAAGAAAAACAAAACAAAAGATAAACATAACAAAAAGGAACTATAAGAGGAAACAAAACAATAAATGTTAAAATCGAATATTTGAACTTCACAAAAGGATGGAATACATCATTTGTCCTTTTTTTCTTTGTCATCTTCTCTACATAAAATTCAAATGCCATGATCGAAATTACACTTTATCAAGAAGATGAATCTCAAGAAGAAGATGAACTCGTGATCGATTGTGATCGGTCAGACCTAACAGTACCTAAAAACAAAGAGAGGCATTAAAATCAAAGAAGTTAACATTGATACAAATCAAATGAGTCAGTAAGAAGAACAGACAAACAAAAGATCAATCAGAAACTTACTTAGATAATGATAAAGTACCCTACAATCAAAATCTGAACGAGTAAAGCTATGAGATAGTGGAGAGTAAGTGGAAGAGATACAGTTAGTGATTAAAAGATCAGGAGGAGAGGAGAGAGACAACTTACCGTGATTGAACAAACTCCGATCGAAGTAAAATGCGAAATTTGTGAGATTGAGATTGGAGATGAAAGAAAAGAGGTGGTTAGTTTTGTGTGTGTCCGTGTGTGAGTTTGTGTGTGTCGGTCAATCGAGTGGAATTTTTTGGGTTATTTCAGTATTATCATTGTGTTCATCTGATCGTTGGATCAGGAGTGGAGTGTTTTGAGTTTTTTTTGATTAAAGTGTCCGAGTTGAGGTTTTGGTCCCTTTTGAAGAAGGGAGTTAGTCAAGTGTTTCTTTCAAGTCCTGGTGTCTGCAATCGAATACTTATCTTTTGAGTTTGATTGTGATCGTGTTCTTTAAAAGAAAAAGTCTAGTTGTTTTGCGCCTAGTTGTAGATGTGGCGTGGTCTGGCGTGATACCCTGTACCCCACTGGTTTTCTCCGCTATATAGCGGAGAAAGACCTCCTGGTCCCGGTTGCGCAGCAAATGCTCCGCTATGGGAAAGGCCGGCCCTGGTGTGCGG